TTCGTTTTTCTCATGGTTGAACGTATGGCCTGGTCTGATTTCACTTGTTAGTTGGTGTATCACTTAAACATCCGGTAATCCGTACGGATGTCAACGATGGCCCTCGTTGTGTCATTGATAGTTTTCGGGTTCATGTCAACGGTAACTTGTTTACAAATAATCAGGAAATGTGTGTTCTCCGTCGCTTAACACACCTATCGATCCAAACCATACTCGGTTCGAAAAGAAAAGTAACAAATTTCCTCTCGAAAAGTGCATGCGGTCGCGTACATTATTTTCTATACTTAGTTGGGGGATTATTTTAAAACTCCATTCTAAGTTGTAGGTGGATGGGTATGAGTGTGTGTGTGTGTGTTTGTGTGCGGTAATTCCAGCTAAAGTTGCCATTGCCACTGCAGTAACAAGAATAACCACACAAACAACCAATCTGTCAATATACCAAGTGGGTTAGGTAGGTGGGGTATGGTAGCAGGCTTGCGGGATGATTATGGTGTGAAAAAGATTCTTTAAAAACAATGCAATTGTGTGTCGCCACAAATGTGTATGTTTACAAAAAGGGAGACATATACGTATACATACACATGGACAGCCTAACGACAATTTTATTTATTTATTTTCCTCGTTTTTTTTTGGTTTTTGTTTAAATCCACTTTTACTCATTATGCCTTTTATCGTTTTTGGTTTACTGATAAAAATAGGGAGGGGGCCATGATGGAGTTTTGAGAATGTGTGGTTTACATTTTTGGGCATGTAAATGAGTTTCCTTAATTGTTGTTGGAAATTCGTCGTACAATAACTCCAAATTTAGTTTTTATGTATGTATGTAGTATGGAACCATATTTGGCAATTGTCATCAGGGGGTGGGTGGGTTGTTTGTGGAGTAAAAAATGCTGTGTTTTAGTAAAAAAAACGTAGACAATTGAAATGTATCCACTTGACAGTTGGAACCCATAGGAGGGACTGCAGATTTGGTCAGAATGAATAACCGCTAAAGTTGCATGGGAAAGTAACATTCGGTCAATATTAAAGTGGAGGATTCCGGTTCTATTCCTTCCTAATTTCCGTACACATAAAGGACACATTTCCAAACCGCCGCCAAATCTATATATCAAGTCTCAGATTTTTATCCTATCTATTCTTCCGATAAAAAATATAGCACCATTTAAAACTTTTCGTACAATTATAGTATACATTTCCGAAACCACCTCCACGTGAACAGCAATCCTAATACTAAATTTCAGATTTCAAGCACAATCTATTCTCCCAACATTGTACCAAATATGGCGACGTTTAGAAAACATATGTACGAATTTTCAAAAGTTCCTACGTACACCATTTCTATACTCCAACAGTAATTATAATTCCAAATTTCTGGACTAATGCCCTATCGGTTCACACAAACTCAAATTTTGTAAAGATTAGTACAAATTACCAAAACTTCCTACATATCCCAATCCTACATTCCTAACTTCCAAAATTACCTCCATTCCAGAAATGTTATTTCCAAATTTCAGAATTCCATCTCTATTGGTTCACCACAATTCCAATTTGTACAAATGGTAGTACTATTGAGTACTCAAAAGTATACATTTCCATAACAACCTGCATCATACAATACAATAGATATCGTATTTCCCAATATCAGGATTCCAGCGCTATCGATTCACTCAAATACTAATTGTTCTATATTTAGTACTATTTAGTACAAATAAGTACCAATTTCCACACAATTCTACACTCCCCAATTATAAATTTCAGAATTCCATTCCATGCGGCTAAATATAAATCGTACCAAATTTAGTACCATATAGTACAGACAAGTACGACTTTGCCAAACTTCCTTCATAAACCAATTCCACACTCCAGCAGTAATTTTACTTCCAAATTATAATATTTCAGCTCTATCGGTTCATCTAAATTGTACCAAATTTAGTAAATTTTAGTACATATAAGTACAAAACTACCTACATATACTCCGACAGTAATCTTATATCCAATTTTCTGGATACAAACTCTATTGGTTCACCCAAATCCAAATTTTACCAAATTTAGTACCATTTAGTACACTTAAGTACACAATTTTCATAACTACCTACATTATACAGTCGAAGAGAAATCTCATTTTCAAATTTCGGTATTACAACCCTACCAGTTTAACTAAAATTTAGGCTGTACCAAATGTAGTACGATTTAGTACACATAAGAACGAATTTCCAAAACTACCTACATTCCTCAGTCCTGAAATGCAATAGTTATACTATTTCTAAATTCCTCAATTCCAGCTCTATTGGTTCTCCCAAATTGGAATTGTACCAAATTTATTACCGTTTCGAAACCTTCCTTCATATCCCAATCCGATACTCCGCCACTAATGTTACTTTCAAATTTCAGGATTCCAGTTTCATCCTTCTCTCCAATTTCAAATTGTACAAAATTAAGTACCGTTCAGTACTTTTCGTATACATGAATACACACTTCCAAATCAACCTCCTTACATCGACTCTACTCCCCAACCGTGATTCTCATACCAAATTTCAAGTTGTTAGCTCTAACCGTTCACACGATACGAAATGGTACCAAATGTAGTAAATTTTAGTACTTTTCGTACACATGTAAAGTGAATTTAGAGCTAGGAATTTATAATGTTGGTATTGGAGTCATGGTTGTGGGTAGGTTTGCTATAAAGATGTAGTTTTGGAAATATGTACTAAAAAATACGAAAAGTGCCAAACGGTACTAAATTTTTGTATTTGGAGAAGGAAGGATTTACAACTCTGATAAATCAAAATTTGGTAGTACAATCACTTTTTGTGCGGTGGGGTTAATATATGGAGGTGGATTTGGAACTACGTATGAATAAAAGTACGAAAAGTACGAAATGGTATTAAAAGTTGGTATTTGAGAAAGAGCTGGAAATTTGAGATGAGAATCATCGTTGTTGTTGTGTAGAATACACGAACTAAAGTGTTATTAGAAATTCAAATAATAAATGGACAAAATTAAGAATAATGATATCCAGAGGTGGTTTTGGAAAAGTGCACTGAGTGTAAGCACGGTACAAAATGGTACTAAATTTGGGACAATATGATTTTAGGTGGAATATTAAAATTTAGTATAGAAAGTGGTCGTTCCGGAAATACGTACAAGAAGTGTACGAAAAGTACAAAGTTTTGCTTAATTTGGCATAAAATGTAGGACTAGAACTGTAATTATGCATTTTAGTATAAGGGCATCCCTGGGAATGCGAAGCGTTGAAATAAAAATGTGAACTCGGAAATGTTTTCGTTACGGATTGTACGAAAAGTACTTAATGGTACTAAATTTTATATTGGGTGTAGGAAAAAAGCTCGAGTTCTGAATATTGGTATAGGATGTGAGTGTAGCATTTAGATAAGGTAAAGAATTTGGAAATCCGTATCATTACCGGTACGAAATGTCCTAAATTTCACATGAGTGTAAGAATAGAGCTTAACTAAGGAATTTTCCTATGTCGGTAAGATTAGATAATGGGCAGTTGTTGGAAATGTGTGTTCGAAATTTGCCAAAAAGGTACTAGATTTTTTATCGTTGGTTTTGAGCGACTAGTTAGACTAAACCAGTCATTGTGTGTATGAAGGGTTGATTATTAAAACAGAATGGCGTTATTTGTACGTCCCTGTGGTGTAGGGTATCATATAGTCGCCTCTGCACGACTTTTGTCTTTTCCCACGTGGTTTTTGCTGTTAACTTTGTCTTCGTCATTCTCTCCCAATGTGCATTTTTGAAGACAATCGAACACGTAATTTTATAAGATTCAGCATTTTACTCCTTTGTGGGAGAAGGAGTAGACCGATGTTGTCCATCCCCAAATACCATCTAGGTTCGATTGGAATGTTGCCATGTACCAATTTTGGACGAAACCGAATGCTCCCTTCAATAGTTACCGTGCCCACAAAAATATCTAATCCTATTTTTTGCCTGATTTTTTTGTTGTTGTTCAGAAACTATTTCCTACATTTTATTCCTGACCCTCGTTTCCTATTTATCACTTGACAATGGATTTAAAATCTTTTTGTTGATAGTTTTTGTCTTTTTATTTTGCTTTTTGGTGGATAAAAGAAATTTGTCTTGCTATTTGTTTAGGTTTCCTTTTGTGGATTATTTTCTTTTTGTTGTCAACCCCTTCCCCTTCTTCCTTTCTCCATTTGCCAAACATAATAAATCCCCATTTAGGGATATTACGTCTTGCGTACGTGTTAAAATTTGTTGACAGAGTTTCTGAATGCAATTGTATTGGTTAGCGTCTTCCAGTCTTTTTTTCATTTGGGCTTGGTCTCTTCCGAATAATGTGTCATTGCACTCGTTGTTCATATGTGCACTGAAGAGATGTGATTCTGTTTGCTGGGTGGTGTGAAGGAAAAATATGCAGACTTCGGCACTTGAGTTGTATGTGCGACATTGGGTCTAGGTTCTAAAAATTATCAACAACATTTTTTTTTTTGTTTATTAAAGTCTTTGTATATTGTTTGGTGGCTAAAAATCCAAAAAGGCCATATCATTAGCCTATCTTCTTGCTCTTGCCTGGAATGGATTTGTTAAAAGATTGTTGGGACACACCCATTTTTATTTGTCATTTTGATAAAAAAAAATTACGATTTGGGAACGCGGCTATTCCAAATTGGAAATAGAAAAGAGAGAGAAAGGGAGAGAGAAAATTTAGCCTCGAGATTCAAGTTTCCTTCTATATATAACCATATTTCAGATATCGGCAATTTCGTGAAGAGGTTGCTAGTTGCCACTATCACTTATTCTGCAATAGTGGTTCTCTTTTTTACGCCTTGAAAAATGCCAAACAAGAAAGGATAAACTATGCTAATATATTCATATTCCGAACATTGGGAGTCTTATATATCTCTCAGCCATGGATCATATATCTTTGACGATAAAATTAAATTTATTGTTTTCTTTACCACGATTTTTATAATATATTAACCTTACTGTCTATTTTTATTTAATTTCAGGATCCTGCTGGTATATTCGAACTTATCGAAGTCGTCGGTAATGGCACTTATGGTCAAGTCTATAAGGTAAGTAGAAATAGATAATTTTGTTAACATAAACAAAAAATGCCATGTCTGGTATTTAAACGCCTAAAAATCGAAGTCGACTTATATCATTTGATACGGTCAAAATGTGTTGCCTCATTGAAATAAAGGTTTTAGACACAGGGACTCTTTGGACGAAATTAGTTTCAGGATATTTGAAGTCGATCTATGGGAGTCTGTCCGTTTGGCTGGCTGGCTGCAAACTTGGTACATCGAAATACTTTTGTCAAACTTAGATCGAGTTCGAAGGTGGACAATATCGGTCTACTCCTTCGGGTACTCGCCACCACAAAAGCTCAACATTTTCACAAAACATAATTTACATTATAGAATAAGAGAGGATCATCCAATTTTATGCAAATTTTGCAAGCCTCAACATTTGTATCAGTGCTATGTCAGGTGCAAAAAAGGGACAATATCGGCGCATTTCTATCATGTACCTCCCAAACCTTCAACATTTTTAATAAATTTAACTCTCATAAAATATAAAATAAACACCCGATTCTCCTCAAATTTCACACATCACATTATTTTTATTAACATAAGATCAGCTGGGAAGATGGATTATATCGGACTACTTCCTCCGGTATCTCCCGCCGCAACCAGTAAAATTTTGAATAACTATGATTGCCATAAAAATGCGAAATGAGCATTTGACTCTTTTCAAATTTCACCCATTCTAATATTTTTGTTTATACAAGATCTAGTGTGAAGATGGTAGATATGAACCTACTTCTTCTGGTACTTCCCCCACAACAGGTCAAAATCTTAACGATTGTGACGTGAATATATAATTTATCTCATGCAAAAAAAGACATCCAGGATAAAAAAAAATGTTAAATAAGAGTCCGATTGTCTTTAAATTTCGCACGTCCTAATAATTCTAGCAACATAAGCTCTTATGTGAAGACAGAATATATCGGAGTACATCCGGGTCAAAATTTTGAATAATTATAACAATTGCTACATTTGATTCTCTTCGAATTTCGCACATCTCAAAATTTTTATCAACGCAAGAACTGGTGTAAATATGGAAAACATCGGATGACTCCTTTTGGTACCTCCCCAACAAAAGGTCAACATTTTGGTTAATTATAACCCTTATACTATGCGATTCCCCTTAAACTAAGTATATCTTAATTTTTGACTAAACTCAATATCTAATATAAATATCGACCCTCTTCTTTTGATACCTCCCCCACAAGGGGTCAGAATTTAAAATAAGTCAAGTGTCACCAAATTAAATACACGGTGAGATGAAAAATCTGCAACCAACTTCAGACTGCTGTCATTTCTAAGCCACTCGTCCGACAGCTGTTAAAATTATTCCAGCGACAGCTCATTATATTGTTTACAAGCGTACAAAAGCATTTTGGTGAGAATTTTCCAGAAAAAAAGTTATTCGTGATGGAATTCAAGCGCGGTAGTGTGATTTCTTGATATTTGGATGAAAAACCACAAGTGACTATCGTTAGAGCACTCCACCATTACTGGTAGCGTAGCCTGCCGTCGAGGAAATGGACGGAAGAAAATAGCAACATCAGCAAAAAATGGTTCAAAAAGTAAAGAACCGACTTAATCAAAGAAGCGTCACAGTGGCCGAAAAATGGCTCGTGAGCTGAACATATCGCAATATTCCATTCGGCAAATATCGAAAAAGGAGCTCGGGGTAAGGCCATTGAAATTCGTTGAAGTGCAATAATTTACACCGCAACAGGAAGAAAATAGACACAAAAGAGCTAAAAAGATGCTTCGCGTGGCCGAAAGTGGTGAACTGCCGAGTTTGGTTTTCTCCGATGAGAAAACATTCGTTGTCCAGCAGGACTCAGCACCATCGCATTCAGCACACGCCACCCAAGATTGGTTACAAAATGAGGTTCCTCGCTTCATTTCCAGCGCACAATGACCACCAAAATCTCTGGATAGCAATCCGTTGGACTATTGTGTCTGGAGTTTTTGGAAAGCAAGGTTGGCACTAAAAAATACCAAAGTGTCGATTACCTCAAGCAAGCGCTTCACCGGGTATGGACCAAAATACCGCAGAGAAACAGCGGGCAGCGTGTGACGGTTTCATGGGCCGTAATTCGTGCCAAAGGTGACCAATTCGAACAAATCTAAACTTATTCTAAAACTTGATGCTATTTCCGACATTTTTTGCTTTCATTCAATAAAATTAAACCCCCTATTTTAGTTTTCCGTACAAATTTCAAATTTACACAGAAATCGCCCAGAATATAAGATTTAAACATGAGGATTACTTCCCGAATATATGGAGGTTTTAGGAAACAATAATTTCAATCAATTTTCGCTCAATTTGAGGGAAATTGCGGATAAAAGGGCCCACTGAGCAGTAACTAAGAATGAAGCGCTGTTGAAGCTGGGCAAAAATGAAAGGCCTCCAGGAGTACTTTCCGAATATATGGACTTTATAGGCAAAAAATTTCACTTAGGAATTTTTCAAATTTTCTAAAAAATTATTGCTCAATTTCAGGGTAATACAGGTCGCTCAATTTGAGGATATTACGAGACCCTTTATTTGTGCCCCCAGCCTCAACACTGCTTCATTCATAGTTCTTAGTTTTAGACCCTTTTATCTGTAATTTCCCTCAAATTGGGCAAAAAATTTGTCAGAAAATTCGAAAAATTCGCTCAATTCGAGAGAAATTACAGATCGCTCAATTAACTAATAATGAAGCGGCGTTGAAGCTGAATACAAATGAAAGTCCTCCCAGGAGTACTTTCCGAATATATGGACCTTATAGGAAAAAAGAATTTTAGACTTAGGAATTTTTCGAATTTTCTTAAATATTATCGCCCAATTTGAGGACAATTACAGGTCGTTTAATTTGAGGAAATTACGAGACCCTTTATTTGTGCCCAGCCTCAACACCGCTTCATTCTTAGTTTCTGTTTGTGGACCCTTTTGTCTGCAATTTCCCTCAAATTTGGCAGAAATTTGTCAGAAAATTCGAAAAATTATCGCTCAATTTGAGGGCAATTACAGATCGCTCAATTTGAAAGAAATTGCGAGACCTTTCTTTTGTGCCCAGGGTCAGAATTTTTCAGAAAAAATTATTAAAACCAGTAAAGAAAGTCCTAAAGTCGGGCGGGGCCGATTTTATGATACCCTACACCACTTTGCTAATCTAGTTGAGCTCCACTTAATAATTAAAAGTTTTTATGGGAGAATTCAATCATACAAGCTATGATTATAATTATAATTTAAAATTCAAAGGACTAAATACGCTGAAGCATTTGTATCTTTTAAATTCGGACTTGTATTGCCCATCTGGTGCGAAATTAATTTGAAATCGGGTAAAAATATATATGGGAACTATATCCAAATCTGAACCGATCTCCATAAAATTTGGCAAAGATATTTCTGAGCTGTATTTGATATATTTCCCTGAATATCGTTGTTACGGAGTGCATATTACGGCTGTGGGTAACAAATACAATAAATCGGATGAACAATATATACGGGAGCTATAACTATATCTGAACCGATCTTCACCAAATTTTGGCATACTACCTTCTAGACTAAATTCGGTCGTATGTGTCAAATTTCATCCAATTTGGGCAAATATTAGACGTTTGGTGCACAATCAAAGGTAAATCGGACGAAGTTATATATGGGAGCTATATCCAAATCTGAACCGATCTCGATAAAATTTAGCAAAGGTATTTCTGAGCTGCATTTGATATATTTCCCCAAATATTGTTGTTACAGAGTGCATATTACGGCTGCGGAGGACAAAAATAACAAATCGGATGAACAATATATATGGGAGCTATAGCTATATCTGAACCGATTTCGATAAAATTTGTCATACTTATTTTCAGGCCTAATTTGGTTGTATGTGCAAAATTCCATACTATTCGGGCTGATATTACACGTTTGGTGCACAATAAAAGGCAAATCGGACGAAGATATATATGGGAGCTATATCTAAATTTTGACCCACTTTATCTCCAATTTCAATAGGGTTCATCCTTGGGCCAAACAAATGTTGTTTGCAAAATTTCACCTCAATCGTATAATAAATGCGATCTGCATTTTGTTAGCAAGAATACTTGGACGGACGGACTGACATGCATAAATCAACTCAAAAAGTGATTCTATGCAGATCATCAAAAGGAACTATGGGTCTATCTCGTTTCCTTTTGCCTGTTACAAACAAATGCACAAAGACATAATACCCTGACCACCTTGTGGTGTAGGGTATGAAAAAAAATTATTCGGAAAAACACATGTTTCTCTATATACACAGTTATCTCACTTTAATTCCTCTCATTTGTAGTAAACATTTAATTTATCTCCTTCTAATCAACATATTGAAACACAACAAAAGAATAGAATTTTTTTTTTCAAAAAAAAAAAAAAAAAAAAAAACAGTCCTAACAAAATTAGAATTCATAAATAAATATCGCATGCAATACTTGACACAATGACCCCGCTACTGCGTCGACGACTGTTGCTACTGATACAGTTGTTGTTGTTATTGTCGTCGTTGTTGATGCTGCTGCTTCTGCTGCTTGGCTATTGTTCCATTCAACTCCATTGTCTGTTGGAGCATAAAAAGTGAACAACCTAGATTTTCATATTTGCACACATCAAAAACATTCACACACACACACACACACAAACACACAGAGGCACACACACTCCAATACATACACAATGAAAATTTGTTTACTATTCTCTAGTCATCTTGACGATGAGGGTACTCTTTGTTCTATAGAGTGGAGTCGTTTAACTGTTTTTTTTTTTGCTTTTTTCGATATTGTCTTCTCATCTCAGCTCAGCCGCCATTAGGTTTTGTTGCTGTTGCCATTTTTATGCCCCAAAACAACAATAGCAACAACAGAATCTAAAGCATAAAGAAAATTATCTATTTTTTTTTTTTGTTATTCGTCTGCTCATGTTCTTGTGTTATCGCCTAGTCTCTATACTATTTCAAAGACCCACAATGAACAGTGGG